AGTTGGAAAGGAAGCGCAGACAAGGAGGGGCACGCTAGAATGCGTTGTCGCTACAAGCAGAAGTTTCTGGGCCGCTATGTGAAGCCACCACTGGAAGAGACGGAGCAAGATCAAGTTGTCAATACTGCTGCTGGGTGAACAGATTCTTGGGTGATTGTTTTGAGAGCCAGGAGAGCTCTTTCGACGCGAATTGTATACGGCAAGTGGACGACTGACAAAAGGTAGAATTTTACCGGTCATATCCTACTGATGAGATTTTCCAGCGTGATGATGGTTCTTGGAAACTCTAGCTCAGTGCACGTTCGCCGCAAAGAACGACCAAGCTTTTGTATAGCGCTGAAGAATCCGATCAAAACACACTCGAGTAAAGAACACAGGCAGGCAAATCGCGCGAGCAAAACTAGAACGGGGGGATTGATCTATGGGTGCTGTGTTGCTCGCAACTCTGGAGCAGTTCACCACGAACTTGGGAAAGTTGACATTCCTGTGGGCGACTGTGGTTCTCCTGGGGGGATTCGTGACCGCTATGGACAAAAACGACTTCTACTTCATCACAGTCCTGCTCGTCAGCTATGGTATCCGGAGCTTCCGCTTCCTCAACCTGACCAAAGGCTTCAAGAAACCAAAGGTGGTCTCCCGCATCCAGGCACTCTTCATCGTTCTCTTCGTACTCACCACCATCGTCCTGGTAATCCTCTGGGACGTCGGCCTCACCATCTTCGTGATCCTCCTGCTGGTGCTCAGCCTTCTCGCATTCGGGTACAGTGCTGGTTCCGAGCGCTCGTTCGTCCTCATCTACAACACGGCCCTGTACAACGCTGAGATCTTTCTGGCTCTCCTCAACCTGGGAGCCTCGATCCACTGGCTACGACCACCGCACTACAAGTATCCAAAGTCGAACGAGTTCGTGGCAATGCTCTGCTTCTTCTCGATCGTTATCGCCGAATCGAGCTTGTTCTTGTGCAACCGAAGCTGCTGGCAGATCATATCAGTGAGGTACAAGCTGCGAAAGAAGAACAACAGGAACCGACCGAGATTTATTCTGGAAACAAAGTTCAAATTCTTCGTTGCCGTGTACGAGACGACGCTGAGAGATGGAGCCATCAAGGGGCTGAGGATGAACTTGGTCGACTACGTCGCGAACGAGTTCTTGGAATCGAGAGGCAACCGGGAGCTGAGGAAGAGCTTGCTGATGCTGGATGCGGTGTGCCACTCGGAAGAAGAAAATCAGAGAAAGCAAAGTGGGAAGCTCCTCTTGGCATTTAAGCGTGAAGTTGTGGAGCGGCTGTTCGAGTGCATGGGCCACAAGTACTATCTCACGTATAGGCGAACGGCGATTTCCCTAGTGGCCGAGATCTGCAAGGACGAGAACGCGTTCTTCGCTGTGGCACAAGTTGTCCAGGCCAGCGACACAGGCATCTCGCTTCTGGTGAAAGCGCTAGAGCCGGATACCAACAAGTCAGTGCTGGCGCTGCTAGGAAAGCTTGCGGCATTTGGAAAGATTGCCAATCCGAGTGTGATCCCGGACTTTGATTTTGCTCTAGGGGATACGCAAAAGAAGTGGAAGGATTCTCTCCGCCATACCTTCAATGGCGATGGAGATGATCCAGCCAGGGTCGATGTCGAGCCAGAGATCCAGAGCTCCAGGCAGAAGATCGCAAAGAATTTGAGGACGCTACTAAGAAAGAATCACGACTTGACAAGGTACCTGGCGAATGCTCTCTTTTGTTCCTCCCAGGAGCTCCAGGAGCTAGCTCTAGACGCTCTCGCGGCATTGGTAGCCTATGATCCCAGCGATGGTGATCTTCTCCCTGGTTACAAGAGCGCCATCCATGGATTGTTCCATCTCGTCCGTGCCTGCGAAGCTGATCTGCGAGGAAGAAAATCGGCAGGGGTGCTGGATCTTCTCTGCCGCAAGAATCGCCAGTACCTTGAAACGCTGCTCGATGGAAGCGGCAGTAGCAGTGACGATGTTATAGCAGTTCTCATGAGCGCGCTCTCCTTTGGTTTGGACCATCACGATGGCGAGAGGAGCAAGCATGCAATGTCGATTCTGTGCAGCCTCCACGATCAGAAGCTATTGAGCGAGGAGCAGGAGAAAGCGCTGGACATTGCAAAGATCGTGGACATGGTGACCACTATGACGAGCTCAAGACCAAGTGGCCATGGCTTGACTGGGGAGAGCTCGATCACCCAACCCATGGAAGGGATTGGTCTGGCATTAGAAGTAGCCGAGCTTTGGGTTTTAGCTGCTTGGCCATCACAATGCTCATCAGCTGTTCCGACGGCATCACGGATTCACAATCAACCAAGGTAACGTACCCCTCTTTTCAACTCAGAATTTGGGCTCCTCAAGATCCCGCACTTACCATGGTAAGAAACAAAGAACCATAGAAAACTTACTTTCTCGCAATCTCGTGCATTGCTTCAGAAGAGACCCACTAGTGCTCATAGTGGTGGAGGAATGAGAGTAAATCCCATTGGCATGATCTAGAAACATTCTTCGTTAGATGTTAAGACACCTTAGTCTTTCCAATTGTCCGATTATTCTTGTGGTGTTCTGTGTGAGAGCTGCTTCTTCCTCCTTTCTTTCAATCGTCCAAGCTATCCATCAGCTCCGCCACTTCCGATTTGAGGTGAGTGTACTTTTGCTCGTGGGGAGCGAGGCGTGAATCGATCTCCTTGCTGCTCATCTTCCTCTCGTACAAATCCACCGTGAGATTCAGCTTCTGGAGAAGCCTCTCGTGCTTCTCTTTCTCTTTCGTGATCAAGGCCTCCACCTGTAATGATCCTCAATTAGCAAACAAACGAATGGAAAGAAAAAAAACGTACCTTTGAGTTGACACTTGACGAGCGTGAAGTTGCTTGCAACGCTTCGTGAATGGCTTTCACTTCCTTGGACAGCGTTGCATCTACTAGTTTTTTGCTGGCTTTGCAAGGAGCAACGTCGCCGGTACGGGCGAGGTCACGCAATGCTGCCTCGAGCTTCTCAGCCTCGAAGAGCCGTCGTTTCATGAGCTTTTGGAAGCGTTGCAGAAGATCAAGGACCTAGTCACAGCAGATATTTATCGGTCAGAAAAAGAAAAGAAAAGAGAGGACTCTTAGATATATGCTCACCTCCTCTTGCTGGAGACGAGCTTGGTAAGCGGCAGAGGACTTCGATATTGGAAAATCGAAGTGCAAGTACGCCATGCAAGCTAAGAAGAAGCAGAAGAAGCCGAAAATGAGCATCAGTGGTTCCGCAAGCATGGCCAGAGGATTAAATTTGTATTTGACCTGCAGGGATGATATCATTTTCTCAAGTTTTTCCGTCTGTGAAGACCTCATACCTGAAACGGTACATTGTGCTCGGCGACAACATTTTTCTTCGTGAGGACGACGACTTTACGACCAACTGTATCTAAGTAGCTATGTTTCACCTGGAAAAAACAGCCACCCTGTTAAACATCAACTAAACTGGAGCAAGTTATATACCTCCTGATGTTGCTCATCCAAAGCTAATGGTGCTTCCACACTGGGATCTCTTGATCCCTCGGGCAGAACAACCTGAAACCATTGCGTTAGCAGCTCAACATGAACAAAATAGTAAGTTTAAGTACCTTTGTTGTAATCTTCTCCACAACTACGTCGACAAGAGGACTACCGAAGGTAAAGTTAAGGTAGCGGCTTCCATCAGGAGCCAAAAACACAAAATCTTGGAGAGGGACACTGTATCCCAAAGTAAACTTCACTTGCCAGCCTCCAAAAAGCGGATATCTTGGCTCAAACTCAACTATCGTCTGCCAAGATCAAACAATCATACACTCGAAAACACGAGAGGAAAGAATTCGAAATACTTACTCTTTTAGGCTCGTTCCTGACATGAGAAGTAGAAATGTTTCCAATCTCATCACGATAGTAGATCGAGTGTGCCCGTGGGGGCAAGATCGCGGCAAGATAGCGAAAGGCAGAAACACCATTTCCTTTAGCCTGATAATCTAGCCTGCAAAAGTTCAGTTAGTCCAATAATCACTGAGGAAAATGAATAATTTACAGACTAACCTGGAAAATCCACCTTTCAGACGCGCTCCAGTATGCTTGAGGTGATAGTTCTCGGTAGCATACACGTTCCCCCAGTGCGAGATCTCGATCTCCTGCTCAAGTGTTTCCACTACTGCAAACGGCCGATTGTTCTCAAACTGGAGCGTCACAGGTGCTTGGCTGAGGGGCGAAACGTTCTCGTAAGGTCCATACTTGATCTCCTTGTCTCCCAACTTGGTCGGCTCCACTTTGGTATAGGACTCCACACGGCTGCCTGGAAGCTTGAAGAAAGTTGTCTGGAACTTCACCAGATATGGAGAAAGCACGTATGCCGAGTCGTGGTATAGCACGAGCTGTGTCTCGGACTGACGAATCTCTCGTGGGAAGGGCGTCAGCGTATGTGTAAGCGCGTACTGGACATCGATGGTCGCTGCCTGGCCTTGCTCTAGAGATTTCTCTAGAGAGATTTCGAAGTAGACAGCATCGGAGCTCGGATCTTCCTTCTTCTCGACTTCTTTCACGGTTAGAGGCGCGGATTGTGTCCTCGACTTGCCTTTCACTGACACAGACGCGGCCGAGATATATGCGAGATGGTCGAATTGATCCTTGGAAAGCGCAAACAAGAACTTGGTCGCTGGATCGGATCCGGAATTTTCGATCTGGAAATGGAAGCGAGATTTACCAGGGATGACTGAGAATGAAATTACCTTGAAAGAAACGAGGGTTCTTGCCACTTGCGATGTCAGATCGACCTGCGAAACTCCCGATCAAAAGATTTCGAGAGAAATGCGGCAACATACCCGACGATCAAGCTTGGCGACCACTAAATCTTCAGCCAAGGCAGCGCCGGTGAGGATCCACAGTGCCAGGCAGCCGATCAGGCACAGCGACGAAGCCGCCATCAAAACCCTAGTGACCTAAGCCCAAGAACCCTAATTTCATTCACTGTAAGATATGTAAAAAATGGAACAATTCTCTAGCCCTAATTTTCGAGCAGCGATCCCGCCGAGAAGCCATCATGCGCTGCCGCTGATCCGATCGGTGGCCTGTAGTTCTGGTGATTGATTTCTGGCGACGATGGCGCTGGGGGCGATAGATGCGAGGGGGATTTGCAGTGCTGCCCTAGGGCGATCGTCGTGGAGGCGTGCTGCATTCGCATACACACGATCTCGGCCTGGGATACCGCGAGCTGTGCCTGGAGCTGGGCAACTTGTTGCTGGAGCGCCGAGATTGCGCCTACGCAGCCATAGACAGGGTCCCGGATCCGCGAATTCGCCTCGTATACCATGCTGTTCACAGCGTCTGCCCGCTGGTACACTGGAAGATCCTGGAGAGAGAGAAGGAGGAGCTCGATTGATCGATTCAAAGGGGCTTTCTTACCTGGAGCATCTTGTTCACATTGCTGGCGCCAAAGACTTTGTGGACGTAGGCGAATTTCTGGGGCTCGTCCGGCGGGAAGAATGGGGCGAAGATGCAATCCTTGGCGCAGCGCCTCCTCAGAAGCTTGCAAGCGGCGCACGGCGACATCCCTCCAGCTCCTGGCATGATCAAACCCGGATCGATGACCGACTGGAGGGATTTCTTCTTTTCTTTGGCGAGATCAAGCAAAGGAGAGATCTTCTCCGCGAGAATTCGTTGCTTGTTTGCGCTGTCTGGGAGCGAATGAATGAAGGGGGCATTAGGTATGTGATCTTCCCCATCACCGCGTGGACTTAATTTGTAACCACCGATCGTGGCGGTCTCCGGAATTGGAAACTTGCGAGTAAATTTGCTCGTTATCGCAAGAACCCTAAAAAGCAGAGCCCGCTCTTTTTCAAAATATGGCGGGAAATTTAAAAGTTTCTTTTAGGGTTTATGGGCGAGGGCCTCAAGGCGAGGCTGTTCGATGTCGTCAAGGCGTGTGGAATCTCCGGCAATCTCTTCAAATGCCGCGAGGCGCATCGCGAGCTGCTGGCCACGGATTACTGCCGCGATCGATTCTTCGCGAATTTGCTTGTGGAGATGTATGGCAAGTGTGGATCCGTGGGCGAGGCGGCGGCGGTCTTCTCCACGATCGATCGCCCCAATGTCTTCTCCTGGAACATCCTCCTCTCGGCATTTGCCCGGAATGGTCATCTGGAAGGGGCGCGGCGGACATTCGATGGCGCCACCGCCAGGAACGTGATCACCTGGAGCGAGATGATCACAGCCTACTGCTCCCATTCCAAGATCCACGAGGCGCTGGGGATGTTCCACCGGATCCCCCAGCGAAACATCGTCGCCTGGACAGCGATCCTCCAGGGATGTGCCAAAGCCGGGCGATTGGCCGATTCCGAGCGCGTCTTCTACTCGATCCCCCACAGCGAGTGCGATGTCATCACTCTCACGGCGATGTTCACGGCTTACGCGAGCGGCGGCCAGATCGATCGAGCGCGCGCCATGTTTGACGCGATCCCGATTCCGGAGAGGGATATCACGGCCTGGAACGCGATGATCCACGCTTACGTTCAGAATGGCATGGCGATGGAGGGCCAGGATCTCTTCCACGCCATGCCCAAAAGGGATAGATTCTCTTGGAGCCTCATTGTGTCGGGATGCTCGCAATTAGATACCGTTAGGGCAACCGAATACTATGCCAAAATGCCACATCGTGACATAGTCTCTGGAAACGCGATACTTACCGCAAATGCCGAGTTAGGGCATGTGTTACTCGCAAGAGATACCTTTAACTCCATGCCCGCTAGAGACGATGTAACGTGGAATAGCATAATTACCACGTATGCCAAGTCTCGCCAAAGTCACACAGCAAAGTTACTGTTTAACAAAATGCCCTGTTGGCATGTTGTGTCGTGGAACTCGCTAATAACAGGATATACCCTGGAAGGGCATTTGCTGGACGCTCGCGAGCTCTTCGATATTCTGCCCGTCAAGGACGTGGCGGCGTGGTCGAATATCCTTCAAGGATACGCCCACGCCGGGCGATTCACCGAGGTTTTAGGGCTCTTCCGGGGGATGGATCTCGAGGGCACCGCGTCGGACGAGATCAGCTTCCTTGTAGTGCTCAGCGCTTGCGCCCACGCCGGCCTGATTGACGAGTGCTGGCGCTACTTCACATCGGTGGAGGAGGATCGGGGATTGCGCCACACGCTGGAGCATTTCGGGTGTATGATCGATGTGCTTGGCAGAATGGGGCATCTGGACGACGCCGCGGAGCTCATCGCCGCCATGCCCTTCGTTCCTGGGGACATCGAGTGGACATCGCTGCTCAGCGCTTGCCGCGTCCACGGCGATGTTGATCTGGGAGCGCGATGTGCGGTCCAATCCTCGGATTGCGATCCCGAGCAAGCGACGCCTTACGTGCTCCTCTCCAACGCCTTCTGCCCGGAGTGATCCATCTATCCATCGATCGATCCCGGGAATATTCTCTGGAAGGGATTGATCACGAGTGGGTTCTTGCTGGCAAGCCAAGAAAGGACGCACAGGAGAGAGAAAGAGGTCTAGGGTTTTTAGGTGTCTCTCTCTCGCGGCAGCTGGATCCGGTGGCGCTAGGCGGCGATGCGGGGCTACATTGCGAGATCTCGGCATTGTGACGGGCGCTGGAGCGGGATTTCGCGAAATGCGAGCCGGATTCGTGAAATGTGAGTCCAGGGAAGGGAAATGGGAGGGAGCTCCCCGCACTGTGGAGCGCCTGGCAGGGAAGGGACGGCCTTCACCGGGCCATCGGGGAATTCTAGAGCAGGGAATGCGTCCAAGCGGTGGCTGCCCCAGAATGGAGGCGCTAGGAATGGCAATGCGTTCCAGCTCCAGCCTTCCCAGGTGGTCGTGAATGTTCGCGGTGGCGGCGCCGCTCATGGATTTTCCAAGGCGAGCAAGAGGGAGTGTGGGGAATGTTTTCCAGTGAAAGGCAAAGTTTTGGCTTCCAGGATTGTCATCACTGCGGTAGTGTTATGGCTGGTTTTCCAGTCGGTGCTGCTGTTAGAAGGGATCGTCACCAAGCGTTCCGAGATGAATCTTCCCGGTGGAGCTGACGATTTACAGCAGAATTTTCTCAATGGTTCTAGAGTTGCCCGAACGCGTCCATCTGGCTTGGAGCAAAGAACTTTAGCTAATGACGAGCAAGGAGCCTCCGCAAAAATTAACAGTTCTATTGCCAACTTTGAAGACTACGAAGAAAATCTGGAAGGAGAAGTGGCTGTGGAGCGAGATCTGCATGCGATTGAAGACGTGGAGAGAATAGAAGAGGAGGAGGTATACCATCAGTGTGATGCTCCTTTCATTGTTCTCATTCCTTCTTTCTCCTTTTTCATCAGCTGGATGAGAGAAAAGAACAAGCCCAAGCGACTTTTGAGGATGTGAACCGAGGCGTGAAAAGAGCCGAAAGGGAGAAGTTTGAGAATCACGAACGTGACGATGGGGAGCTTGAGCGCACTGGGCAGCCGCTATGCATTTACGAAACTTACGACGGAAACAGCGGCTGGGCTTCCCTCCATCAGAATTATCCTCTGTACCGTGGTCTTAGTCTGGTAAGCTCGTGTTGTGCTTGAAGTTCTCATCACCTCCACTTTGATGCAGTCACCGAGGGGAAGGAGACCAAGGGTCGACGACATTGATGCTGCATCACGCCTTGTGCTTTTAAACGACACTTTCTACCGCGATAGCTTTTGCGATTTTGGTGGATTTCTCGCAATCGCTAACAGGATTGATCGAGTGCATAAGAACTCGTGGATTGGATTTCAACCCTCGCTAGCTGCTACCGAAAGAGTAAGAAATTGCGGATTGACGGTGGATACGATCTTAAATTTTTCTTTCCTCAGGTTGCTCTGTCGCCAAAAGCTGAAAACTCTTTAGCCGATGCTGTGAGGGTCGGTATTCATGGCGATGCCGTTTATTTCTGGGCTGGCAAGTCGGAAGATTTCTGGACTTCTTGCGATGCAAGCAATGCTGGAAACTGCAGGTATGTGTCGAGACAAAGTTTGTCAAGGCCAACGGTGTTCATTCCAGGCGGATTTTCATGGAGACATTCAAGACAATGTTCGGCTTAAACAAAGACCAACTGGAGCTTCCAACGATGCCATCTGGTGTCTGGTCTAGCAAGCATTGCTGGGCTATGTCTACCTCATCTTTCGTGGAGTTCGTCATGTTTTCCCGGTCTGTTGCAGTTTGTTGCACATACTCCAACGAAATATCTTCTTAACTGGTTATCTTGTCTTAGGATGTTCGTGGACGCTCTCGATTCTCGGCTCTACATTGAACATCACGACCATGGAAACTGTCCTCTTGCAACCACACAACTGGAGGTATGGTACAACCTCGAATTCTTTTGGCTGTGAGTTCTAAATACTAAATCTCTTAGGCTCAACACTGCTACTGCCGTCTACTTGAGGTCCTGGTGAACGTTTGGGCGTATCACAGTGCCAGGAGACTCATCTACGTGGATCCTGAGACGGGTATAATGATGGAGCAGAACGCTCTCGAGAGCCGACGCGGGCAGATGAAAGTCAAGTGGTTCAGCTTTAGCGTGCTCAAGGGAATGGACGAAGACATGGCCGAGAAAGTTGACGACGAGCATCCTACGTACCGGTGGCTCTGGCCACACACGGGAGAAGTGTTCTGGCAGGGAATCTTGGAGAGGGAGAGGCAGGAGAGATACAACATGAAGTTGGAAAGGAAGCGCAGGAACAAGGAGAGGCTGGCTAGAATGCGCAGCCGCTACAAGCAGAAGTCTCTGGGCCGCTATGTGAAGCCACCACCGGAAGAGACGGAGCAAGATCAAGCTGTGAATACTGCTGCTCGGTGAACAGATTCTTGGGTGATTGTTTTGAGAGCCAGGAGAGCTCTTTCGACGCGAATTGTAGTATCAAGAGGTAAACTTTTTAGTGTACATATTCAGTGTCATTGCTACTAATGAGATTTTCCAGCGTGATGATTCTTGGAAGCTGCAAATGGCCAAAGTTTTTACTAGCGCTGAAGAATCCGATCAAAACTCGCTTGAGTGAAGAACAGGCAGGAGCAAAACAGGGGAAATTGATTTATTATGGGTGCTGTGTTGCTCGCAACTCTGGAGCAGTTCACCAGGAACTTGGGAAAGTTTATGTTCCTGTGGGCGACTGTGGTTCTCCTGGGGGGATTCGTGAACGATCTGAGAAACTATGACTTCTACTACGTCACTCTCCTGCTCGTTAGCTATGGCATCAGGAGCTTCCGGTTTCTCAACTTAGCCGAAGGCTTAAGGAAACCAAAGGTGAATTCCCGCCTGATCCTACTCGTCATCGCCCTCCTTCGCCTCCTCGTCCTCTTTCCCTTCGGCGCCTATATAGAAACCTTGCTGCTGCCTCTCTGGCTGCTGCTTCTCTTGCTGCTGCTTCTCTGGCTGCTGTACAATGCTCGCTCCGGGCGCTCATTCGTCATCGTCTACAACATGGCCTACAATACTGAGATCCTTCTGGCTCTCGTCAGCCTCAGAGCCACCATCCGCTGGCTACTACTACTGCACCCCAAGTATCCAAAGTTCAACGAGTTCGTCGCAATGATCAGCTTCTTCTCGATCGTCATCGCCGAGTCGAGCTTGTTCCTGTGCATCCGCGGCTGCTGGGAGATCATATCAGTGAGGTACAAGAAGGCGAAGAAGAACAGGGGCCGACCGAGATTTCTCCTGGAAACTAAGTCCAAGTTCTTCGTTGCCGTGTACGAGACGACGCTGAGAGATGGAGCCATCAAGGGGCTAAGGATGAACTTGGTCGACTACGTCGCGAACGAGTTCTTGCAATCGAGAGGCAACCGGGAGCTGAGGAAGAGCTTGCTGATGCTGGATGCGGTGTGCCACTGGGAAGAAGAAGATCAGAGAAAGCAAAGTGGGAAGCTCCTCTTGGCATCTAAGCGTCAAGTTGTGGAGCGGCTGTTCGAGTGCATGGGCCACAAGTACTATCTCATCTACCGGCGAGCGGCGATTTCTCTAGTGGCCGAGATCTGCGAAGATGAAAACGCCTTCTTAGCTGTGGCACACCTCGTCCAGGCCAGTGATGAAGGCGTCTCGCTTCTGGTGAAAGCGCTGGAGCCGGATACCAACAAGTCGGTGCTGGAGCTGCTAGGAAAGCTTGCGGCATTTGGAGGGATTGCCAATGCCGAGCCGGGTGTGATCGCGAATTTTGATTTTGCTAGAGGGGATACGCACAAGGAGTGGAAGGATTCCCTGCGCTATACCTTCAATGGCGATGGAGATGATCCAGCCAGGGTCGATGTAGAGCCAGAGACCCAGAGCTCCAGGCAGAAGATCGCAGCGAATTTGAGGACGCTACTCAGGAAGAATCACGACTTGACAAGGTACCTCGCGAATGCTCTCTTTTGTTCCTCCCAGGAGCTCCAGGAGCTAGCTCTAGACGCTCTCGCGGCATTGCTAGCCTATGATCCCAGCCATGGTGGTCTTCTCCCTGGTTACAAGAGCGTCATCTATGGATTGTTCCAACTCCTCCGTACCTGCCAAGCTGATCCACTAGGAAGCAAAGTGGCAGTAGTGCTGGATCTTATCTGCCGCAAGAATCACCAGTACCTGGAAACGCTACTCGATGGAAGCGGCAGTAGCAGTGACGACGTTATAGCAGTTCTCATGAGCGCGCTCTCCTTTGGTTTGGACCATCACGATGGCGAGAGGAGCAGGCATGCAATGTCGATTCTGTGCAGCCTCCACGACCAGAAGCTGTTGAGCGAGGAGCAGGAGAAAGCGCTGGACATCGCAAAGATCGTGGACATGGTGACCACTATGACGAGCTCAAGACCAAGTGACCATGGCTTGACTGGGGAGAGCTCGACCACCCAACCCATGGAAGGGATTGATGTGGCATTAGAAGTAGCCGAGCTTTGGGGTTTAGCTGCGCGGCCATCACACTCCTCATCAGCTGTTCCGACGGCATCACGGATTCACAATCAACCAAGGTCGGATTTGGCAGATGATCTCTTGGAGAAGAGCACGCTTCATTGGCAAGACCCCCCAAATTCCCCACAGAGGGAAACTAAACAGATCAGGATTCCAGAGATGCCGCAGCACAGCATTTCATTCTAAATCTTGCTAAATCAAAACTAATATATTCCCAATTGTTTGAAGCTTTGGCACGACTACAAGTCCAGTCAAACACACAAGTCTAAGAGAAACGTCAATGCAGCTTTAGAAAATTCTCTCATTCGGATTCTCTTTTCTGATTGCCACGCCACTGACTATTCCTGCTCGAACTGGAGCTTTTATGTTGACGTACTAAAGACCCCGCTCTACGCGGGAATGGCGCAAGCAAGGAGGACGGATCCGGGAACTCGGAGTTTGAACAGTCGCAGGACGATCATCTTCCGCTGTCTGCCAGGAAGAAAGGTGATCAATATACCTGAAAGATTTTCTAGCAAATCGTTTTGTGTTTGCTTGAAGTTTTCCATTGAGAGTCAGGCCCCAGAAAAGTTGAAGAATGTACCGCTGTGAAAGTTATGGATGGATTCAGCAGGTACGCATGGGTCTGTTTCTCTTGGCTCAACGGCCACTAGCCGTTCCAGAGCGTCTTTGGCTGATCATTACATTGCCAGCAATGAGCTTTTTCTAATCTATCATTCTCTCTGGCTGTTACTTAACGAAGATGTTGCAGGCTCGCGCTTTCGGCAGCGATGCTTGGTAAGCTTTCATCTTTCGAGGCGTCGAGTATTGTATTCCAGGCATGTCCTCAAAGACGTTGTCGAGATGCCCGTTCTGGCATACGCGGAGAGCATCACCGCCTGCAAAGTGGCATCCGGGGCCGAGTTGAAAGTTTCCATGACTCCGAGCATATCTCCATTCGTTGCCGCCAAGCCAAGCCAGGACATTCCAGGTGGGAATTCTTCGAAACAAAGCTCTTGCTTGATCGCCATCTTCTGGGCGTTCGCTTCCATCAGAGCTGTCCATGACACCTTTTGCGGCACCATAAAACCCTAGTAAATTTATAAGGCTGATAAACCCTTTTATATTGATCTCTTTTAAGCTCCTTGAGAATATTCCTATTTAATTGGGCCACAACACACTTCAGCCCCACACCTTTATTCTATATACTGAGAAGAGTGTTGTTCAAGTCACAAAACTTACCTGCATGATTCAATATTCCCGCTTCGATGGTGTGCAAAACGCTCTACTTACCACCTGACACGAGCCATCAGGCCCGCTGCCGACATTATCCGGCAGGAGAAGGAGCGCTCTGAGAAAGATACCACTCTAAGCTACCAGCCCTAGGCAGCAGATTGCCGGCGACATCAACCGCTCGGCTGCAGAGTCAGTCCTGCCTCAGACTGGGTGTTGCTGAGCTAGAGAGTGGACGATGTGCCTGGACGTGGTTGAATTGGTGATAAGCTTGACTTGACTGCCACCAGACCCGTTGTCCCTGCCTCGAGCTCCTTGAGCTTGAGAGCTTTGTACTTCATGCAAGTGCGGCAACCATGCGTCGAATGATGCTCTCGCCTTTCCTGGTTGCGGACACCACTCGCGTAAATTCCTGCGACCTGCCAGCTTGTTCACCGGGCCCCCGGTGGAAGTGGCAGCCGTGCACGGCCACACAACCCTTGTCTCGCCAGCTTCGGAATGCGGCAAGTAGTCGATCTAGCTTTCACGAGAGATCAGTTAGCAATTGCGTGAGAACAAAACGAACTATCCCACTCTACCTGAACGATTTGCATCTCCTTGGTGCTAGATGTTTTTCTCGGAGATTAAGTAGCTGGGATCGGCAGTTTCAACTCCCTGTCAATTCAAACTTTGCAGTTAACAAGACAAGAGAAAGCGTTCAAAGGAGTCTTATCCATGACGACGCGTGCCAACCGCGGTGAGGCCCAGTGGCACCGTCCATGATGCTGGCTTCCATCTAGTTGTCAACACCGATCATCTCGTTGTCCTCCATTGCACGCACCTGTAGAAAGGTGGCGTGGCGATCGATTTTCACGTAAAAAAAGCCTCGGCCAAGGGAAGGATCGCAATGGACTTCAACACAACCGGCATGTTTCGAGCCAGTGCGGATCACACAGGGCACCTCGAGGTCGGGGTGAAAGAAACTACATCCTAGGAGACTATGGCAGTAGCACGAATAAAAGATGACCACTCAAGAAGAAGAAGAGGAAGATCTCACGGTCTTCTCAAGCAATGCCAAGAGGTAGACTTCGTGGTTCTTGAGCCGTTGAACTTGGTGTATCCCGGCCCTCCGGCATACAGGGTGTGGAGCTGGTCACATATGGGATGCGATTTTGCAGAGGGAAGTTGAGAATGCGTGATCTCCTCAACCGGATGGCTTGCCAGCGCACTTAGTTTTGATTCATGGGAAGAACTCCACACGTAAAATGGAGAGATGATCCACGATAAAAGAAAGAGGCCAGTCCAAGCATGTAAGTGTCACCATAAGGCTACTGCCTTGCCTCCTCAATGCAAGCTGATGCAGCGAACAGCCAAAATCGTTCGCATAAATAGCTGCAAGCACTCAAATAAAAAGATTAAAGCAGAAGGCAAATTAGCTGCTAGCTCTTGTTTGCTTCCAGAAAATCCTGGAGCCTTGAAAGGGACCGGAAGGCCTCGTGATCATGAAGAATAGATAATGATTACACTCAATATGTTAAAAAGAAATGGCAATTTGAGAGTAAAAGAGCATATTTGGGCGGGAAAGCAGTCAAGTGCGATGGCGGAGAAGGAGAAGGCGATGAACAAGAAGGCTGCACATCACATTCATGAAGGAGAAGCAGTTGGATCACAACCTCAAAATCTACAGAGAAGTACAAAAATCTCTTTCTTTGCTTTGAATGAATTCTTTTGTTGCACAGAAGAATTCCCTTGCTCCTCCACCTCCACCTCCTCCTCAGGAGCATGACGATCCAAAGCCAGAGGCGGAGACGAAGCCTGAGGCAGAAGAAGAGGCAGAGGCAGAATAGAAGCCCATTGCCACGATTCATGTGTAGTTATGTATGATTCTTTGAAATGTCTGGACTTCAATTGTTCTAATTCAGGCAATCGTTATGTTCTTTGTTTTAGGGTTTGTCTCAATCTCAATCATTTCACGATGCAACCTTGTTCTGTTATTGTTCTAAGGTGGAGTTTGATAATGGCTAATCCAAGATCAGCTATGGCATATTGATATGGTAGTGTAGTTGTGGTCCACTTGCTCATGATCTTGCAATATTTTGGTGTTTCAGACGAGGCAAATGATCGAATCAATCTCACACTAGCCACGTGGAGGCATCATCTTGCCTAGCTAGAGCTGCGATCGGTTGCTCAATGTGAGTGACTGATGGCAACCAGGCTCCTTGTGACAAGCTCTCCTGATGATAATTCAAGCCCAATCTAAACAGCAAGATCTAGAGAAGGTGGCGAAAGTCGAGGAGGGCAACTGGACGGTGCTCGATCGGTGCAACAGCTACTGGTGAGAGCTCTCCAACGCAAGAGCTCGTCTGGAGTAGAGAAAAGCCTCGATCCAGGAAGGAAGGAGAAGCTTGAAGAGATGAACGCTAGGCACAGCATCGACTCGTGTGGGACTTGTGGAAGCCCAGATTTCCCTGCAAAGCTGAACGCACGGAGCCTTAGTATGGATGATGTGATCAACAGCTACGAACTTGTGGCAAACATCTCTTAACTGGAAAGCCATCGAGAGCTGTCTCT